GTTTTTTTTGTGAATAACTTCGTGTCACATATTGACCAATCAGAATTAAGGATTAGCGGTCAGGCAGTTTCGAGATATTTCGATATAAAACAACTTCACGTTTCGTTCATCTTTAGTAAATAGGATTCATTTATTATTTGCCGTGTATACCCTACTCGGGTTTTTACAACTCGGGTTCGACTGTTTTTAAGGATGTTCTACACCCTTTCTGCCAAAATTCACGTTTTTTTAATTTTTCTGGCAAACTTATGATGGAATTGACGTGAAAAAATATAACGTTTTTGCGTTTTGTCATTATTTAATGACTGACGAAATTTTAAGGTGGTGCGAACATTTTCCTGCGTTTTNGAATACTGGAAGACATTTAATCAGCAGTTCACTAGCTTTTTTCGAAATCGATATACATTCAAGAAACAATTTTACTTTTCTGATAAATTACATCTTTTCTCGATGCGGAATACGGCGATGTGTGTGCATGGGAGTGTGTGTGAGTGCGAGCACGCGCACGGATTTTCTTGTCTTCTATGGGTATTTCCTCGGAGAAATGTGAGAAAAAGATTGAATAAATACATAATAAAAAAATTAATGAAAGAAAAAACAAATGGTCGGGAAGTTATTGGTGCGACCCGTAATGGGTCACATCCAATTCCACCAACCCCTACCGGTCATACCCTAAAGAGGGAGCGCGCGAAGCGCGCGACCGGGCCTGATTTTATTTTGTCACGTCACTCCCATCGATAATTTGCCAGAAAAATGAAAACAACGTCAATTTTGGCTAAAAGGGTGTCGAACATCCTTAANTTATATTTTTTCACGTCACTCCCATCGATAATTTGCCAGAAAAATGAAAACAACGTCAATTTTGGCTAAAAGGGTGTCGAACATCCTTAAGTTATCGTTCATTAAATAACGGAGTTGACGCGGTAAGTCCCTCGACCGTTGGGACAAGCCGCGTTAAATGGGCGCCGTAAGTGCGGGGTTCAAATCATTCGACCAGAAATCGTATGAACTGAAACCTTATCATCGGATTAAAAAAATTTCACGTTAGCAAATCCAAGTCAAGTCGATTTAATCAAATGAATTGACGAATCTACTGAAAATTACACATTCACCAGGGCAATAGCTCTGAAACGGAGTGCGATAGAAAGGTTTCTGTGGAAAGCATTTCTGTAGCTCTCGAAAATCTCTACAAAAAAAGTCGTCATAAAAATTCTGCTGTCTCGGTTAGATTTCGAAAAGTGAAGACTGGTTTGAGAAACAAGAAGTATTTCGTTCCTTCACTTCGGTGTACAAATGGATAAATTAAATTAATTGATTCTATATTTATCAATTCAAATCCCCTGAATATGTTCTCAAGAAAGCACAAAGTCTTCCACGGAGTTTCCCAGAAACTCGATAGTCAACTTAAAGTTCCATACAAACTAGTGATGGAAGAGCTTTTCGCAAACTTCTGAAGCACTCCCTCAACGTTAAAGTCTCTCACGTATTCATTTTCAGCTGTCGATGATTCATCGAAGGAGGACGCGAGCTCCTCGCCGTCGAGTCAGGACGAGGAGAATCGGAAGGATATCAGGGCCCTCATCGGCCTCGAGCTCGTTGTCGATTACGTCAAGGAGCCCAAGGAGGAGCCCAAAACAATCGAGTAAAATCGTTAAAAACGTAAACCCACGTCTTTCAATTCAGTATTTGTCTCATTAATTTTTTCATGCTCCGAAGATTCGTGAATTGTACAACGAATTACTAATGAAAAATCCCCTGAGATCATTCCATCATCATTTGTGTCTAGAAATGCGGAGGNATGCTTCACGGACGAAAAAATTGAATAGAAAAACCTATCGAATTTCTGTTGAATTTCTATTGAACTGTTCTATTAGTTTTTGGCCGATTCTATTGGAATGTTCAATAGAAAATATTCAGTAGAAAAAGTCAATAGAATTCAGTTTTTCTATATAACTTATTCTATTGAGATATTTTCTATGGAATTTCATCGGCTCAAATTTTCTAAGTTTTTGGTTTGATTTCCTTGATGAGAAGAAAAGAAAAGTAGAATGAAAAAAACTTGGAAAACTTGAGTCGAGCAAATTCTATAGAAAATATATGAAAAGAATAAGTTATATACACGGAGAGAAATATTCAATAAAAGTTACCAGAAAAAAGACGTAAAAATTACGTTTCGAAACGTATTCTGGGAGCGAAGTAAAATTCAATAAAAAGTGTCAATCGTCACGTAAATTCTACGATCTGTTCCGTAAAAATTACTCATCCGTCCGACGCCTCACGGTTAGCCATGAGTCACTGTGAGGGGGAGATTTTAACAAAACGTTTCGTAATTTTTCCGGAACTTTTCGTAAAAATTCTTAAACATCCAAGAATTTTCATGTTCTGAGGCATAATAAGTCTTGAAGTTTCGTTAGATTTTACAACTTCCAGAAAAATTACGTGACTTTTTCGTATTTTTTCGGTGACAGACCCGAAAATTTACTGAACGTTTCAGATTTATTAATTTATTAAATTCACTGAAAACGATTCTCGCTTGCGGATTACGTGAAATGTTCCGTAATTTTTCTTGAATATTTCTCTCCGTGTAGAAAAATCGAATTCTGTTGATTTTTTCTATTGAATGATTTCTATTGGACATATCAATAGAATCAGCCAAAAACGAATAGAAAGTTTGATAGAAATTCAATAGAATTTTCTAACGAATTCGATAGGTTTTTCAATTAAAATTTTTCGTGCGTGAATTTCCCAATTTACTCCATCAATTGCCGCACATTCAGTTGTTCTTTGTAAAATACAAAAAATTGTAAATAATTGATTGATTAATAATGAATTCCTAGGGATCTCAAGACATTTCCACATGTCTCTATACTAATTAATAAATCAAATATAAAAAACGGTGTAGCAAGGTATTAATTGTGTAAATTTGACTCCAAATGAAATAAAAAGATATAATTGAAATTGATCGAATGCGATGAAAGAGAGTCATTCCAATTTCTCCTCATCAGAAAATATCAATTATTCAGGGGCGAGGGAACAGTCGCATAACGAGATCAAAGGCGAGAAAAAAAAATTCTCGTTAATTACTGCCACGACTGGAGGGTCTAAATAATGAACGGATTGATAATTTAAAAAAACTCACGCTCAAATAACATTTTTTATTTTTATCCTCCAAAAGAAATCAATAACTCATCAATCCCCAAACATTGATGATTCGTGGATAATTATTCTCCCGTCGTTTATATTCCATTGTTGTTATTAGCGATGACTCGAAGCTCGAGGACGACCTCCCCCTTGTGGGGGTTATTTAGCCTCATTAATTTATGATTTCGTTCGGAGGGCGGTTCAGCGTAGAGAATTCTTCGCACTGGAAATTCTGGGGCGCGATAGTAGATTGGCCGGTCCAAGTCGCTGCCCAGATCGTAGATGGACCGCTCTGATGGTGGGTAGATGATTGTCTAAAAATTTAAATAATCATCACGTAATTAATACGGAATTCCTGGGGAAGGAATTCAGTAGCCAAGTGGTAAACCGGTATAAGTCGATATCTCAGAATCTAAGGGAAATAGCGAAATTGTTGTGATTTCCTTTTTTGTAGCTCTCAATTTGCTCTACAAAAAAGGTTATGACAACAATTTTGTTATTTCACTTAGATTTTGAGATATTCATTGAAAACTGGGCAATAGTCAAAATCGACTTATACCGGTTTACCACTTCACTACTGAATTAATTTTCTCAGAAACTTAATCGATTTCGTTTTACTCATCACGAGGCAAATAACGTAAAATTGCTTGATTGTCTGAGAACAGAAACAAGAGTTCAGTAGCGAAATGGTAAAACGGTACAACTCAATTTTGACTATTGACTAATTTTCACTAAATATCTCGGAATCTAAGGGAGATACCAAAATTTTTGTCATAACCTTTTTTGTAGAGCCGATTGAGAGCTACAAAAAATGTTATTACGAAAATTTCGCTATCTCCCTCGGATCCGGAAATATTCCTCAAAAACTCAACTGGGAGATGAGTCGACGTGAACCGTTTTACCACTTCGCTACTGAATCCATCGCATAATAAATCATGAACGCCTAATGAAGAAGAATTTAAGCGTCAAATAAATTCAAGAAGGATTAAAATTTGGGGATTAACGGAATTAAATATTCGATTGACTCTACCTTCCTCGGGGGATAAACTTGCTCCTCGGTCTCGCCAGACTCCCCCGCGGAAAACGTCACGTCTAAATCCCTGGAAGCCTGTTCGGTGCCGGCTTCATCCGGATAAACCGGGTAGTAGTTGCTCCGCGGGGTGTCCAGATAGAGAACTCGCGAATTCACGAGTTCAATTGTCAGAATTACTGAGAGCACAAAAAATTTCAAGCGAAACATTTTCCTCGGGGTCTCCGTCACTACTGAAGAGCCCGGAGACTTCCTCGGGGTGAAAGACTCGCCTGTGATAAATGTCCAGCTGTCTAATCCGATTAATGAGATCATCTGAATTTTTATTCTCATTCTTTCAATTATTTTCCGTTCAATCCACACATGTCTCGAGGTCTTTGCGATCTACGACAGCTGAAGCTCTTTAATTTATTCATTTTCCTGCGCTAAATGTCGTCAATACAATCCCGAACACGACATTCGGCTGAAATAATTTGCCCATTTTTTTTTAATCACGAAGATCGTTTTCATTGACCAGATAGACACCATGAATAATACATGAAATTTGTACCTCACGGTATCCAAAATCAAATTGAACGACGTATACACACATGCACATATCCGAACTAAATATATAGATATATTCGAAAAGTTGGGAGGCAAACGAATGAGTACAAGAGACCGGGGCATAAATCTAAATAATTTTTCAACAAGCTCTCGTGAAAATGTTTATTGTTTCCCAGCCGTGACAACCGACACTCTTTTGAATATTCATTCGCTAGGTAAAAGAATATGTAGAGACATTTTTCCCCCTCAATCCACCCCACACGGAGAGAAACGTTCAGTAAAAATTACGGAACTCTGACTTCACTCACCGATTGCGGAATGGACTCAGAAAATTTAAGTAACGGTATTGTAATTTTTCACCGGAGATTCAGATAAAAATTACGGAACGCTCTGGAAAAATTCCGTGACAGTTCCGTAAAATTTCCTTCAACCACATTTCGCTCCGGAGTTACGGAAAAGATACGTAATTTTTATTGAATATTTCTCTCCGTGCAAACCCTGAAAATATATCCGAGGAATTTTCAATAATCCATCGTGCGTAAATAATGTATTTGTCGTTCCACCGATTTCGACACATTTGAGATTAAAAATAACTCGTAAATTTCTGTTGAGTTTGACACGTCAATTATTCACCGTTGGAATTTCAATAAATCGCGGAAGAATTAACGAGCTTGCGAAAATTTTGAATATTCATTCGCTAGGTAAAAGAATATGTAGCGACATTTTTCCCCCTCAATCCACCCCACACGGAGAGAAACGTTCAGTAAAAATTACGGAACTCTGACTTCACTCACCGATTGCGGAATGGACTCAGAAAATTTAAGTGACGGTATCGTAATTTTTCACCGGAGATTCAGATAAAAATTACGGAACGCTCCGGAAAAATTCCGTGACAGTTCCGTAAGATTTCCTTCAGCCACATTTCGCTCCGGAATTACGGAAAAGATACGTAATTTTTATTGAATATTTCTCTCCGTGTAAACCCTGAAAATATATCCGAGGAATTTTCAATAATCCATCGTGCGTAAATAATGTATTTATCGTTCCACCGATTTCGATACATTTGAGATTAAAAATAACTCGTAAATTTCTGTTGAGTTTGACACGTCAATTATTCACCGTTGGAATTTCAATAAATCTCGGAAGAATTAAAGAGCTTGCGAAAATTTTGAATATTCATTCGCAAGGTAAAAGAATATGTAGAGACATTTTTCATAGGGAGAGAAATGTTCAGTGAAAATTACGGAACTCTGACTTTCCTCACCGATTGCGGAATGGACTCAGAAAATTTAAGTGATGGTATCGTAATTTTTCACCGGAGATTCAGATAAAAATTACGGAACACTCCGGAAAAATTCCGTGACAGTTCCGTAAAATTTCCTTCAACCACATTTCGCTCCGGAATTACGGAAAAGATACGTAATTTTTATTGAATATTTCTCTCCGTGCAAACCCTGAAAATATATCCGAGGAATTTTCAATAATCCATCGTGCGTAAATAATGTATTTATCGTTCCACCGATTTCGATACATTTGAGATTAAAAATAACTCGTAAATTTCTTTTGAGCTTGACACGTCAATTATTCACCGTTGGAATTTCAATAAATCTCGGAAGAATTAACGAGCTTGCGAAAATGACATTCTATCTCTTCATCTTTCATATTTTCTCGGCGGAGAGAGAGAAGAGTTGTGAAATATTGCCGACAACTTTTCTCATACTTGAAACTTTTCCATGGCTTTGATAATAATAGGGGTTGGTGAGGGTGAAGGAGGAGGTGGGGGGCGCAGGCTCTCGGAGGGTGTGGTGTACACTGATACAGCGGTAACTGAAGTGCCTGGCACAAGAATCACGTTGATATGCCTTGAACGAGGGGGGGAAGCTCTTGATTTTTCTCTCGCCTCTCGCATTTCGAGATCATGTGAACCCTCTCAGCGGGATGACATTTTGCTCCAGATGTACATTAGCAGCAGAAATAAGACGAGAAAAATTGTCATCCATTCATTCTTTTTTTTCCACCTGAAAGGTCTAATGAGGACGCGTGGAGTTTGAGGGAAAGGACAAGAGATTGCTTCAGTAGGACATTATTTTTTGTTTCAACTTTATTGATCATTAATACTGCACGAACACGTTCGTCATCTAATGATTTTTCTCACTGAGGAGAGCAGTCCTCTTGCATCGGTATTCATCGATTGGTCTTTATACAGTCCTATACAATTCACTTGATCGTGGAAAAAACTTTTTCCACTTTCTCTTTTCATTTTAAACACTAGAGACTCGAAGTTTGACTTTTCACAGTAGATTACATTACATAAAATTCACTACGACAGTTTGATGGACGTATGAAACGTATCTGCAGCCGATGACAATTCAATCGTTTGAGTTCACACGAACAATTCATCTATAAGCGTTTTAAAACCATTTTGGGAACTAAAAATGAATGACAACGGTGGAAATCCGGGATTAACCGAACTTCCTCTAGAGTGATTAAATATTCAACGATTATTTGGTGACTTGGAGATGAAAAATTTATCGATTGTCGTTGGACAATCAAATTTTCCACGATATTTCAGTGGCAAAGTGATGAAACGAGACAAATCAAATGAACTTCAACTCAGACTTTTCCGTTTTGCCAGTGAAATTTTCAATTGAAATTGATTTCCCTCGTTTTACCACTCCCCGGCAGGTTCGACGAGTTTTGGTAATTCCTCAACAGTTTTTCACATATTCTCTCTTCAACTGAACAATTAACAACGAATTAGTTCGACGCAGCAGCGACTTTCTTGCAGATTTCGTTCGTGTACTCGCTGCATTTGGCAGTGCCACCTAGATCGCCAGTTAAGTATTTGGCTTCTTTGATCGTGTCGTAGGCTGCGTGCTCGATGATCCTGGCGTGGTCGACGAGTCCCATGTGCTTGAGCATCATTACTGCGGAGAGGAGGAGAGCTGTTGGGTTGGCTTTGTCGTGGCCAGCGATGTCTGGGGCTGTTCCATGGACCTGAAAAATAATATTTTCAGTGTTTCATCACTTGAGAGGCTTTTATTTATGACCTGGAGTGAATGTCAACCTCCGTGGATATTTGTTACATTAATTTAATTACTATAATAATAACTAATTAACAATTAATAACTAATTTGCATTTTAAAAACAAAAATTTAGAAGACCTTTAAAGAATTTCTCCTGTTCTCGAATATTCAATGGATTTTTCTAATTCAATTATTAATTAATGATTGAAATAATACATTTTTTTTATTTTTTGTAATCCAAAATTGTCAATTGAGTGGTACATCATGTAAAAATTCCCAAAAATTATGAGAGAATGATGAAAAAAATAGAAAAAATTCTGAACTTTTTCGAAGAGCGTTTTTAATTGAGATTCAGAATGAGTTGAAAAAAGTGGAAATTACGAATATCTGATTTGCTGTGGCAAATTATCTATTAGCTATCATCTTCCATGGTGGATAACAAAACACTAACTCCTCATGGGAAGTGACAGCTAGGTATCTCAAATTTCAAAACAGTGATATGTGGTCATCTGCCATTTTTATGTGATAAAAGTGTGATTAAAAAATTCTTCCAAATTACAACTTTTTTCAAAGAGCCTTTTCCGTAATAAATATCTCTGTGCAGTGTGGGAAATGATTTACGAAATCAGTCTTCCCCCTGCACGATATTGGGTGACTGGCCGTCATTTGTCACCGTAAATCAGATACATTTTTCAATTTCTTGTTATTCAACTTATTCTGAATATAAATTAAAAATGCTCTTTGAAAAAATTGATAATTTTTTCTACTTTTTTTTTTATTATTCATTCATAATTTTTCAAAACTTCTGCATGATGCAGGACTTAATTGACAATTTCAGTTGACGAAAGAGGAAAAAAAACATCGAGACCGGGCCTTAAGTCTTGTAAAAGAATATTTAAAAAAAAAGAAACTTGGTAATTAATTGGGGAACAGGACTCAGGTCAATGCACCGTTGATATCTGGGTACTCACAGACTCGAAGAGAGCACCATTGAGTCCGATATTTCCACTTGGAGTCAATCCCAGACCCCCGACGAGACCAGCACACATGTCGGAGAGGATATCACCGTAGAGATTTGGCATTACGAGGACGTCATATTTACTCGGGTCCTGGACCATGTTCAGGCAAACTGTGTCCAGGTACCTTTCCTCGAATTTAACGTTTGGAAATTTCTGAGCAGCCTCACGACAGCATCGGAGGAACAGACCGTCTGACATTCTCATTATATTGGCTTTATGTACCGCTGTCACCTGAACATCAATCCCAGGATTGTATTAATGATTAATTAATTAGTCGAATTGAATTAAACAGAGACGACTGAATGATATAATTTCTTTATGAACAATTTTGATTTCGAAGGGGGATTAACTGCTTTTTTTTACATAGATTATAATTTAGTAGCGAATTGGTAGAACGGTTTAAGCCGACTCATCTCCCAGTTGAGTTTTTGAGGAATATTTGCGAATCCAAGGGAGATAGCGCAATTTTCGTAATTACATTCATTGTAGCTCTCAATGGGCTCTACCAAAAAGGTTATGACAAAAATTTTGCCATCTCCCTTAGATTCTGGGATATTCATTGAAAACTGGTCAATAATCAAAATTGACTTGTACCGTTTTACCACTTCGCTACTGAATTTATTTGAAAGAAAATAAGATTCATGAATTTATTGACGAGGGAATTACTTGAAATTTGTACCTTTTTCCTGTTATTATCACTGGCATACTGGAACGCGAATTCAGCAACTCTCGTTGAAGCCTCCTCGGTGATGAGCTTGATGGACTGCACGACTCCATCGACAATTTCGTGCTCAATACCGGAGTATTCACCCTCGGTATTCTCACGAATTGTTACGACGTCTACGTTATCGTAAAGGGTTTTATAACCCTCGAGGGAACGACAGGGTCTCACGTTGGCATATAAGTTAAATTCCCTGAGGGCAAAATAAAAATACCACGTTAAATAATTTTTTAAACACTTAAGGCCCGGGTGTACTGTCTTTCGAACGTTATCTCTATGTGTTTTTTCATCTTTCGTCATCTGAAATTGTCAATTAAGTCCTGCAGCATGCAGATGTTTTGAAAAATTATGAATGAATAATCAAAAAAAAGTGGAAAAAATTCTTAATTTTTTCAAAGAGCATTTTTAATTTATATTCAAAATAAGTTGAATAACAAGAAGTTGAAAAATGTATCTGATTTACGGTGACAAATGGCGGCCTGTCACCCAATATCATGCAGGGGGAAGACTGATTTCGTAAATCTTTTCCCACACTGCACAGAGACATTTATTACGGAAAAGGCTCTTTGAAAAAAGTTGTAATATTTTGGAGAATTTTTTAATCACACTTTTATCACATAAAAATGGCTGGTGACTACATACCACTGTTTTGAAAATTGAGATACCTAGCTGTCACTTCCCATGAGGAGTTAGAGTTTTGTTATCCACAATGGAAAATAACAGCCAATAAATAATTTGCCACAGCGAATCAGATATTTGTAATTTCCACTTTTTTTGACTCATTCTGAATCTCAATTAAAAACGCTCTTCGAAAAAGTTCAGAATTTTTTCTATTTTTTTTATCGTTCAATCATAATTTTTGGGAATTTCTACATGATGTACCACTCAATTGACCATTTTGGATTACGAAAGATAAAAAAATCCAGATAACATTCCAAAGATAGTACACCCGGGCCTTAATTCTCTCCAAAAATTATCTCGAATGAGGTATTATAAAAAAATCAATACTTTGTTCACCACGTTTAATTTCAGTTTTTCGTCCGCTCATAAATAAAATTGACGACTCGATAAACACTGAAATTGAGACGTGACCAGGCTATAGATAAGTTACGTAATCATTTCAACTCCAGGTAACTTGATACAAGAAATCGTACCGCAATCCAGAGGATTCTTGGCTTTATCAACGAACCTCAAGAGTCTAAATTCCCCGGAGTGAATCACTTACTTTCTCAAGGCGAGATTGAGCGATCTGTGCCCCTTCCCGATGGGTGTCATGAGGGGCCCTTTGAGGCCGATTTTATTTCTATTGACTGAGTCTATGGCAGCCTGAGGAATTCCAAATTTTCCATCTGGTCCTTTGACAGGCGTCACGTCCACGGATTCCCATTCGATGGGTACCTGAGGGATTCCAAAAAAGACATCTTCACTCCTAAAATCTATTTATGAAACATTCACGTGTGATAACCCTAGATTATTTTTTATCACCAACATCCATTCTGATAATTTCTCCTCTTCGAATCGAATGGATTTAATAAAATGGATGGAATGAACGGAATAAATGGCACAAAAAATTACTTGAGAAAAATAATAATTTTTATTTGGGTGAGAGATTGTTTCATGATGCTGTGGTAGAACTCTGAACTCCAAACTTTGTAAAACTCTGTATAATATTGTATACTGGCTTCCCCCACTGTCATAGGGAGTACCACCCGATGGGACAGTGTAAATAAATAAATAAATAAAATGGCTTGTGGGGACGATGAAAAGACAAAGAAACTATGAATACAAAAAAAACATTCGAATTACCAACGATTATAAATGATTTCTTCCATTATGTAATTATTTTGATGCTGGCAATGAGTGATTTTAGGGCAAAATGGTAAGAAACATTTGTGTATGAACTGCTTTATATGAAAAATCACCTGCCATTCCCCCTCAAACCAACTACTTTCCAAGGCACTGCATAATTACCAAAAATGTCAAACTACGTTCTCTTTTTAATTAATTCAAACATTCAGGGGATTAAAAAATGAGAGATTAACCACTGGTAACCCTTGTGGTTACCATGTAAAGACAAAGAAACTATGAATACAAACAATACATTGGCAATTACTAATGATTATAAATCATTTCTTCCATTATGTAATTATTTTGATGCTGGCAATGAGTGATTTTAGGGCAAAATGGTAAGAAACATTTGTGTATGAACTCCTTTATATGAAAAATCACCTGCCATTCTCCCTCAAACCAACTGCTTTCCAAGGCACTGCATAATTACGAAAAAATGTGAAACTACGTTCTCTTTTTAATTAATTCAAACATTCAGGTGCTTAAAAAATGAGAGATTAACCACTGGTAACCCTTGTGGTTACCATGTAAAGAAAAAGAAACTATGAATACAAAAAAAGCATTCGAATTACCAACGATTATAAATGATTTCTTCCATTATGTAATTATTTTGATGCTGGCAATGAGTGATTTTAGGACAAAATGAGAAGAAACATTCTTGTATGAACTCCTTTATCTGAAAAATCACTTGCCATTCTCCCTCAAACCAACTGCTTTCCAAGGCACTGCATAATTACCAAAAATGTCAAACTACTTTCTCTTTTTAATTAATTCAAACATTCAGGTGCTTAAAAAATGAGAGATTAACCACTGATAACCCTTGTGGTTACCATGTAAAGACAAAGAAACTATGAATACAAACATACATTTGAATTACTAACGATTATAAATCATTTCTTCCATTATGTAATTATTTTGATGCTGGCAATGAGTGATTTTAGGCCAAAATGTGAAGAAACATTTGTGTATGAACTCCTTTACATGAAAAATCACTTGCCATTCCCCCAATTACCAAAAATGCCAAACGACGTTCTCTTTTCAATTAATTCAAACATTCAGGTGATTAAAAAATGAGAGATTAACCACTGGCAACCCTGGACCATCCTCAGTCCCCCAAAAAAATGTCTCATCGAGGTCAAGGTGATAGGTAGGACGCACTCATCCTCTAATTGTTCCCCCTCAAATCGTGCAAAATAAATGAAATAAATCGAACGAAAAGGCAAGACACTGTGCGATTGAATAATCCCAAAATACCTTGGCAGCGTCGAATATTTTCTGTACAGCAGCCGAAATTTCAGGCCCAATACCATCACCAGGTATGAGGGTACATTTGTGAGGACCTCCACTGTATAACCGAGCCCCAGTGACTCCAGGTGACACCTAAAATCCATTAATGAGTGATCAAACCCCTGACATCCATTCAGAAATGCTGATGAAAGCTGAGAAGTTGCAAAAGGGAGCAGTGGCCAGAAATAAAGAGAGAAGAAACGAGGGGCCATATGTAGTGGGGAATGTGGAAGAGGTATATTGGGGATTCTAACCTTCTACAATTGTTAATTTTCACAGATGAGAAAATCGATGGATGGAGCAAGAGCTTGAGTTATTCAACTGGGGATTGTTGGAGATTATACTTACGACTTTTCTTATCCACTGGGCTGCCATTTCAACGTGTGTTATGCGGCTGGAGGGGGGCTTTCTTTAATTTTAAATATAAATAAATCGTTGAGTTTATTGGATAATTTTATCACACAGGCACGTCAGGGCACCCCACCGAACACGCCACGGAGCATAGAGATCTTGCTGAGGGAAATTTTAGAGGAGAGGGTGGGTTGAGGTGATGCCAAGTGGGCTGGTTTTTAATGCACCACTGGCGCCAGTTACTGATGAGAGTAAACAGATTCAAATGGAAAGCAAAGAATTATAATTCATTTTGGAATTTTTCTAGGGAAAGCGGGTGATTTTTTAATGGGAAGTGAAGACGTTTATGGAGGAATGTCAGAGAAATCTTCATTGCGTAGGACATGAGGGTCAAACTTTTTAATGCAAAAAAACAGTTTTTTAAGTAATAGAAGAAATTTATTCAAGCCTCTTTTGCGATAAAAAATACAAGACAAAAACCATGAACATTTTTCATGAGGTACTCCTCGGCTTCAGTTCGTCGTAGCACGATCTGAGGAAGATGTAGTTTTTCTTCATCGGATTATAGAATTCGTGACCCTGAAACAATATTTTAAACGTAAGAATTCAAATCAGTAGCGGAGTAAAACGATTTCCTAATATAGGGGAAGTTGGGGTTAAACCGGACACTTTTGACTTTTTTTTAAATGTTAATGAGGGGTTGAAATGTTGATAAAATTTAATAATTTTTTCTTCCAATACAAAAAACAATTCTTTCCCTTTGTGACGAGCCTCAACTGAGCTCAATCGATCAATTTGTTTCTGAGTTATGAATAATTTTAAAAAAGTCTAAAGTGTCCATTATACCCCACCCTCCCCTAACCTTTTTTGTAGAGCCGATTGAGAGCTACAATAAATATAATCACGAAAATTTCACTATCTCCCTTATATTCGGAAATATTCCTCAAAAACTCAATTCCGAAATAAGTCGACTGTATTTTTTTTTATCTTTCGTAATCCAAAATTGTCAATTAAGTGGTACATCATGTAGAAATTCTCCAAAATTATGATAGAATGACAAAAAAAATAGAAAAAATTCTGAACTTTTTCAAAGAGCGTTTTTAATTGAGATTCAGAATGAGTTGAAAAAAGTGGAAATTACAAATATCTGATTCGCTCTGGCAAATTATCTATTAGCTGCCATTTACCATTGTGGATAACAAAACACTCCTCATGGGAAGTGACAGTTAGGTATCTCAATTTTCAAAACAGTGATATGTGGTCATCTGCCATTTTATGTGATAAAAGTGTGATTAAAAAATTCTCCAAAATATTACAACTTNGAAAAAATTCTGAACTTTTTCAAAGAGCGTTTTTAATTGAGATTCAGAATGAGTTGAAAAAAGTGGAAATTACAAATATCTGATTCGCTGTGGCAAATTATCTATTAGCTGTCATTTTCCATGGTGGATAACAAAACACTAACTCCTCATGGGAAGTGACAGCTAGGTATCTCAATTTTCAAAACAGTGGTATGTAGTCATCTGCCATTTTTATGTGATAAAAGTGTGATTAAAAAATTCTCCAAAATATTACAACTTTTTTCAAAGAGCCTTTTCCGTAATAAATGTCTCTGTGCAGTGTGGGAAAAGATTTACGAAATCAGTCTTTCCCCTGCATGATATTTGGGTGACAGGCCGCCATTTGCCACCGTAAATCATATACATTTTTCAATTTCTTGTTATTCAACTTATTCTGAATATAAATTAAAAATGCTCTTTGAAAAAATTACGGATTTCTTCTACTTTTTTTTTATTATTCATTCTTAATTTTTCAAAACTTCTGCATGATGCAGAACTCAATTGACAATTTCAGATGACGAAAGATGAAAAAAACATCGAGATAACGTTCGAAAGATAGTACACCCGGGCCTTAAACCGTTTCACCACTTCGCCACTGAATTATAAATGACATAAAAGAATATTTTACTCATTAAAGTAGTTAAAGAAACAAGTTGAAATTACCTTCGACCAATCATACGACACAGCATAAGCGAAGATTTGTCCATTGTGATTGAAGCAGCAACGAGTTATGGGCTGTTCCATGGGTTCAGAGGGCTTCAATTTAGTCCTAGCGTCTTTATCCCAGAAGCTGAAGGTTCCATCACTGCCAACAGTGGCCAGAGTCCCATGCACTGGGTGGAATGCAATGTCGTTGACGGCGTAGATGTCCTGGTAGCCGTTGGGGGCGCCATTCGACCTATGACACTTGAAGGTGAAGTTGTCTTTGGGGTTCGAGGGGTTCACGTACTGAATGGCAACTCGTCCTTCAACGCTGCCAAGGGCGTAGCCATTTGGGACCTTCTTCTTGTCTCTGAATATTGCGACACAACGGTGCTGGTACTTCAGGGGGGATTCGACCCTCTTGAACTCCTGGGGAGAGCCTTCCAGCTGGTAAATTATTAGGCCTCGACCTGCTGTTCCAACAACAGCCATTGGATAGTCCTGGAAATTATCAATTCCCCATGATTAATTATTAATCATTAAGAATGACTACACTGAGAGAAAAACAAACAGGTTCTCAAACAAGTCTTGTTTAGGCCAACAAAATCGCTAGTTGAAATAGGCAAAAAAGAATTTGTTTGGTTCCAATTTTAAAGTCTCAAACATGAATAATTGTTCTGCTTTCGACAGCAACGAAATATTTGGCTCGAGAGGCGGATAATTCACACCAGACGGTGCCTTTTCAGGATGAAAATATCTCATATAGAGGAAAATTTATCAACAAATATTTTATCCCTAAATTACACGATTGCTATCATATCATTATCATTGTTTCATTTAAGGGTGCCAAGTGAATTTGAAAAAAGATTCAAAAAAAATTTTTTCTTTCCCTCCATCATTGGAGAAATATGTATTCATCCATCCGACGAAATTTCAAACCCGCAACCGGAACTAGAC